TCTCCCTGTCTCTCTCCCCTCCCCCCCCCGATGCACACAGACGCCCACACGCGCTCAGCCACGACACGACATTTGTCCTCCTGATCTGGCGAGATCAAGTGGGGAGCGCGATCGCAAATGTAATCGGCTGTAATAAATAAAATAGCCCGAGATGCTGGAGATACACGGAGGGGAAGTAAGAGCTTGTGTCCTTAAAGGGAACATCTGATAAGGCCACCGAGGTGGCATCTCGCGTGTGGGAAGGAATCCGTCTTGCTGACATTCGCAGCCCGCTGTACGTGGGGAAATCCTAAAGCAGCCCGGGAGCTCCCCCAGCATCCCTGCATCCCCCCCCTGGCGGCCGAACTCGCCTCCGTGCTTGGCGCTTTCAGCCCGCGACAATTTGTTTCTCGCAGTTTAGGAATGTCGGTGGCTCTCACTGGGAAATTACTTGTGGGATCTGCAGTGGAAATCCATCTCTGGTTAAAGAGAGACAGATTATTTAAATATCTGTACCACTCTATACATATATTGCCTATTACTATTGGCGCGCACACGCGCGCGCACACAAATAAAGAAGCTCCCGAAGGAAAAAAAAAAAAATTATCAGGTGGGCTTGAAAGTAACATATTCATAATAATACGAAGAAAAGGTTAAATACAGTAAACATGACAGCAAATTCGAAAGCAGGGGAAAAAACAAGGACAAAAGCCCCACATAAAGCAGTTAAAGCCATTTGACGGAAAGGGAGAAACTAACTCAAGAACTCCACCAAGGGACAAACAGCTGAAATGACACCACAACAGCACCGAGCCCTGGGTGACCTTTCATCTTTAAGTGTCGTGCTGATGTGGTGCAATTCCGTCGCGATCCCTTCACCTCCTTTCCCTCCACCACCTCCCCCGCCCCCCCCGCGGCCGCTTCCGAGGTCCCTCCGCTCGTCGCAGGGAATATACTGGGAGGTCGCCTGAATTATAGGGGGTGCTGACACTTGCCCGGTGTCTTTCACAGCTTTGCAAATATGCTTGCTGTGTAGTAGCACGTAATGGGTAGAAGTGATTAAATTATCCATTGCAGCAACAGCCTTTCTGATGGACTTAAAACTTAGGAGTTTAAATAAGGAAATCACAGATTTAAGCAGATATAAACTGCACCTGCACTTATTTAACAACGCCAGCTAAGCATGGAACCACTTACTTTGTTTAAATCCTCTCTCTTTTGCTCTCCGTGAGAATTTTGGACTAGATAATGCACCATAAAAGTTACTGACAGAGCAAAGATAATCTGCGTTGGATAACAGTGGTTAAATCTCACATGATTATAATTGCTCATTCTTAAAGCAGTATCTGAGGTCTGTTCAAAATAAAAGGTTCTTGCGCAGGCATGATTCCACCAGCATTTCTGAGTTCTCACATTTATAACGAATGATGAAAAGTAACATTTAGCAAAAGTGGTTGTGATTCTGTTTACTAGAATTTCTGCCGTGTATATATCCCTTACAAATCACAATGATTAAGTTTGAGGTTTTCTTTTTTTTCTTCTTTTTTAAAACAACATTATCCTATAGAATCTGTTATGAAAGGTTTTTTACAGAGTGGGGTTTTTTTCCACATGTTGACAGAAACTCTAACCATTCAAAATCATGTAGAAATAACAGACAGATTATGCTTAAAATCAGAAGGAAAAATTAATGAAAGGTCTTAAAAAGCATTTTAATTTTCATGAGGGAAGGCAGATTTTGCTTAGATTTATGCTTCATAGGCAACTACTGGCTTTCCTGGATTTGCAGAGATATAAATGAGTGCTGCACCCAGCCCCATCATTTTATAGATTTATTTTTTTAATTCAACTGTTGTTCAACTTCTCTAATGCAAAGTAAACTATAGGGGGGGAAAAAGGCATTTAAAGTGAGTTTGGATGAATTCCTATTAAAAATAGAGGGAAATTATGAATCATTAGTATAAATCCTACATAAAGAGATACAATGAGGCATTCAGGGGAGATAATTAAAGCTGGATTTAATTTAAATGAAATGTATGAGAACCAGGTAGCACTGACAAAGAAAGAAAAACGTGTTCATTGTCACTGAAAATATTAAATGTGCAGTTGATATGCATATGGATTCACCAGCAGAGAACACCAGACTTACTTTTGGAAATAATGCAGGATTTTTTGATAGAATATTTCCAAGGTTGATATCAATAGTGAGCCCACTGAAGGTCTCAAAGTGCTTTGTAAATTATCCCTTCTCCATCACACAGCAAGCCACTAACAAATGGATCTTTCCAGATTAAATTAAGCAGACCACAGTTTTGCACTTCTATAATTTTTTTTTTTTTTAATATATTCTGGATTCACCTCAATATTTGTCTTTGAATAAATGGCAATCATTTCCACTTTATTTGGTGGACTGCTGGAGCATCAAAGAAGCTCATTCAGAAGAGAGTTTAAAGCAAGTTTGTGTTCCAGAGAACTACAGATACAAAGGAAAGTCTTGTATCACAAAATTTGGTGGATAGCAGTAAAATATACTAAAGTGTTGCAGATATATTGAAATACAGTTATTCTCAGCTCCTGCTCCCACTTATATCTGTCAGCTATCCTTTACATACAGAACTGAGTACGGAGATTTTTCTAAAACCACTTTGCCTTTACACACTCTTGAAGGCTTCTCAACCTAATATTGTTTTTCAGTTCTGTGCTCTATATTTTGTTGGGGTTTTGTTTGGTTGGGGTTTTTTTTGTTTGTTTGTTTGTTTTGGTTGGGGTTTTGTGGTGTTTTGGGATTTTTTTGTTGGGGTTTTTATTTTTTTTTTTAGGATGCTGCAAATATCTTTGCTGTGAGTTAAAGTTTTCTTTCATTTTTAAATGAGACTCACCAGATCATAAAATCTTTTGTCTGATATTCCTAGTGCATCCTGTGCAGCTTTAATTTATTATTAATATAATTCAGGATAGAATAAAAGATCTGGCATGCCTTCGTGAGTCTACTGTGTCAGCTGCCTGTTGAGCAGAAGAGAAAATATCCAAGCAAGATGGCAACTCTGCAGAGTTCAGAGGAAGAACCTTTGATATCAAAATTCAAACA